ATGGGGTACCTTTTAGATGGGGATAAAGCAGACAAAAAAGGGACAACTGTAATAGCATAATCAATAAAATATACTTAAAAATTTTTTTAAAGAAACTGAACAATACATGGGAAGAGAAAGGTCTTCTGTACATTAGAATCCTAGTTAAGAAATACAGAATGAATGATGGAATTAGAAAACTTACATTTAGCCTTCCAAAACAGTAATAATTAATTCAGGCAAGAAACATCGATGGATGATAAAACTACTGAGTAAAAGTTGGATGAGAAACAGGATATTTACATAGTCTCAAGGAATCACAGCATACATGTTAATTATGAAAGGGTAAAGAATAATTTATAATGGGTTAATCTTGGCAGACACCACTTTACTGACATGACCAAACTGACCATTTCCAGTGATGAAGCAAAATGACATCTTGTGTCTCGTAATGGGATACAGTGAGAAAAGCACACAATCACTTCTACGATATTTCTGCTTAAAATGCATAACCTCAATCCTATCATCACAAAATAGCAGACAAACATGAATTGAGGAACATGTTGAAAATTAATGGCTTGTAACCTTCATAAACGACAAGACAGAACAAACTGCGGTCATTGAAAAAAACCTAAAAACACCATGACAAGTATTCCTTTGCTGTTAAAGGATACTATAGGGATGGCTGATGAAACTTGAATGGGGTCGGGGTCTCTCGGTGAACAATATATAAAAATTTTTGTGCGCTTTTTTTTAAAGTCTGAAACTATTTCAAAATAAAATAACTAACATCACATCAACAAAAACGACTAGACATAATGGGCATCCTGAAAGAAGAGAACAGCACCATCCATGAAATACTGTTGCCCCCCAAAAAATCCCACTGACTAGACTCTACATCCTTGAACAAACTGTTTATAGAATATATCACGTGGATATAATCAGCAAAATACAAACTGTGGCAAACTCTATAGGGCAAAAACCTGGTTTCATCAACAAATAAACTGTAAAAAAAAAATAAGGGGAATAGGGAGAAACCCCAAGTTTAAAGAGGTGTAAGATATATATGAAACAATTGTAATATATTGACCTTTGTTGAACCCCAATTCACACATACACACATCTATGAAAATATTAGAGATTTAAGCAGTGTCTAGATATTTGATAATATAAACAGTTATTAATATATTGAGTTATGGTAATGATGGCATGTTTAATGAATGAAATGAAATAAATGAAAGCACAGAAAAGAATGGAGGAAGAGAGTAAGCTGAAATTATTAATGCTAGGTGATGTTATGTACCATGGGGGTGTGGTACCTCCACAATGATCTTTATTGTGTTCTATATATGTTGGTAAATGTTTGAAACTTCCCAAAATAAGAGTTTTTCCCCCCAAAAGTAGCAGAACCAATATTTAAATCTATGCCTGTCTTGTTCCAAAGCTAGTTCTTTTTTTAAAGTATATTTTAATGATTATGCTATTACAGTTGTCCCATTTTTCCCCCTTTATTCCTCTCTGCTCTACACCAGCCCCCCACCCACCAGCATTCCCCAACCTTACTTCATGTTTATGGGTGGTACATAAAAGTTCTTTGGCTTCTTCATTTCCTATACTATTCTTAACCTCCCTGTCTATTTTGTACCTACCAATTATGCTTCTTATTCCTTGTACCTTTTCCCCCATTTGTCTTCTCCCCCTCCCCTCTGATAACCCCACCCACCTGTGATCTCCATTTCTGTGATTCTGTTCTATTTGTTTGCTTAGTTTATTTTTGGTTTTTTAGGTTTGGTTTTTGATAGTTGTAAGTTTGTTGTCATTTTACTATGTTCATAGTTTTGATTATTTTCTTTTTCTTAGATAAGTCCCTTTAACTTTTCATACAATAAGGGCTTGGTGATGAGATGAACTCTTTGAACTTTACTGTATCTGGGAAGCACTTTATCTGCCCTTCCATTCTAAATGATAATTTTTTTTTGAATAGAGTAATGTTGGAGTTAGATTCTTGCCTTTCATGACTTTGAATACCTCTTTCCAGCCCCTTCTTAACTACAAGATTTCTTTTGAGAAATCAGCTGACAAGTCTTATGGGAATTCCTTTGTAGGTAACTATCTCCTTTTCTCTTGCTGCTTTTAAGATTCTCTCCTTATCTTTTACCTTGGGTAATGTCATTATGATGTGCCTTGGTGTGTGCTTCCTAGGGTCCTACTTTTGGGGGACTCTCTGAGCTTCCTGGACTTCCTGAAAGTCTATTTCCTTTACCAGATTGGGGAAGTTCTCCTTCATTGTTTTTTCAAGTGAGTTTTCAATTTCTTGGTTTTCCTCCTCCTCTTCTGGCACCCCTAAGATTAGGATGTTGGAACGCTTAAAGCTGTCCTGGAGGTTCCTAAGCCTCTCCTCATTTTTTTTTTTTTTTGAATTCTAGTTTCTTCATTCTGTTCTGGTTGAATGTTTATTTCTCCCTTCTGCTCCAAATTGTTGACTTGAGTCTCAGTTTCCTTCCATTCGTTCTTGATCCCCTGTACATTTATCTTTATTTCACTTTGTATAGCCTTCACTTCATCCTCTATTTTGTAGCCATACTCAACCGTTTCTCTGAGCATCCAGATTATCAGTGTTTTGAACCATGCATCTGATACGTTGGCTATATTCTCACTGCTTAATTCTTTTTCTGGAGTTTTGATCTGTTTTCATTAGGGTCAGATTTCTTTCTCTTGACACACCTGTTATGTTGTAAGGGACAGAGCCTTAGGTGTTCTCCAAAGTGGGGCAACCCAAGTCACTGCATTGTGGCACTGTATATGGAGGAGGTGTCCAAGAGGGAACAGTGCTGCTTGCTCAGCTCTGGCTGGCTTTCAGTCACTTTCCCCATTACCCACATGCAAATTGGGCCCTTCTGGTGCTGATTCCCAGTGGGTAAGTTTGTGTACATTCTACGACTCTGTGGGTCTCTCCAATTAACTCTCCTGTTAGGCTGGAAGGTTCTCCTGCCGTTGCCACCCCCAAAGGTTTTTATGGTCAGAGGGTTTGAGTCTTTTTTTTCTGGTGGTGGAACCTTGGCTGCATCGTCTGGCTCACTCCCCAGTTGTTCCTCCTGGTGTACCAGCTGCTGCCTTCACTTCCCCTATCTGGTAGTCACTGCCTTGCCTGCCCAGTCCCCCAGCTGCAGCCTTGCTGTGTGTCCTCTCTGCTCCTGCTGCCCATCTGCTCCTCCAGCAGTCTGAATGAATGTTTCTTCTTTAACTCTTTGGTTGTTGGACTTCCATACAGTTCGATTTTCTGGCACTTGTGGTTATTTTTTGCTTTTAAATTTGTTGTTGTTCTTTTGGTTGTGGGAGGAGGCAAAGTATATCTACCTATACCTCCATCTTGGCCAGAAGTCCCAAAAGTAGTTCTTGATAAGTTTTCTATTTCCTTTTAAACACAGTTTAAACACTTTATTGATGTATCTTAATGAAGTCATATTTCCCATGAGTCATTAGTGAACATTTAAAAATATTTCCCATCCCAATATTAACCCAATAAAAAAATAACTACCTGTATACATGAGATACACTTTGAAAAATTAGATATAAATTAATTTTTTTATTTTCCATATTTTTCCAAATTAAAAATTAGCTATATTTATATAATAAGCACAATTTCAATGAAAAGATGGTTTTGGAAAAGGTAATAATCAGCTTAAGTAGAGGATCACAAAAGAGGTGTTAGAACCTTCATGGAGGTGTTTGGAGATGTGGAGGGTTTTTTTTTATTATTCCTATAATTTGGGGACATGACCGGATTCAGTTTGTGGGAGAGGCAGGGATACTGAATGTCTTCATAACTGGGGCTCTTCTGCACAGTGTAGGAGCGCCTCACCTCTAAAGCCAAATCCCCCACGAGAAACACCAACTAAGAGGTAACATTCTAACAGAAGAATGGGAAAGGGAAAAGGTTCGTCTTTTATATTTGTGAGCTAGAAAGTTACTTAGGGAAAAAAAAACTATTATTCTATAATGAAAACAGCAATTATTACTGCATTTAGAAAGCACTTCTTTCTAAACCAGGGAAACTAACATACAGTAAGTCTGGCACATATGTACTGCCCCCAAGTGGTAGTGACCATTAGTATTGCCCCTTAAAGTCAGCACAGACCAAGGAGTCCTAACAAGGTCAGAAGAGGTAAACAATTTTCTTCGTGAATGAGAGCTCCCCCTGGTGTACTGGTTGGGTTCCAACAAGCATACAATCAACTCTTGAGAACCAATTATTCTCAGCAAGTGTTAAACTCTAGTACCTTTAGAGCCACATTCCTTTACTTTTTCTTCTATCATTTAATCCACAATTAGAAGGGAAAATCAAGAACTTTACTTTTCCTGTAAAGTTCTTTATACAGGAAAACTAAAGTGAACTTGAGCAAAACTCAAGAGTGGGCAGCAAGAAAATTATGCAAGGGATACTATAAAAAAATTACTCAACAACTCTTGGTTGACTACAGCACTAAAGTGGCAAAAAATCAAAGCGTGCTTTCAGCTTAGAGCTTGTATGAAGGGCAAACGACAGTGAGAGTCCAAGTCACAGCACCCTTCCTTCTAGGGCACCATGTGAAAAATCAGAACTGTGGGAAGGCAACTGAGGAGAGACAAAAACTGGGAGCAGCTGAGAGACGGCTAGTGTACTTTTGAATGTGCTTTACAAGTGACACTGCAAGTCAGAAAAGAAAGAAATGGAAGTTTGGTTCACAAGCAGGCATTTGAGGAGAGGAAGAAATGGATAATTTCAGTAAAAAATAATGAAGGAGACAAACTGTGTTTTCAACACTTCCTTCTTAACAGGCCAAGGTCATTATTCAAGATTTTGAAAAGAAATGTTAATAGGTCAAAATAGGCAGGCAGAAATAAACTCAAGGCCACAAACAGTACCTGCAACTTGACATTCCAATATGAAGAATCATGTCTTTTCTTTCATGTCCATTCATATAGTTTTTTAAACTCTAGTTTGCACAAACAGACAAAAATGTCTATTAAAGAATGATTACCTTTCATGTTTGCAGCATGCCCACTATTATTCACAGTGGAATAGGGCTGTTCATTCTGAGGCAAGACTCCTGCAGCCATGGTAGTCTGTTGGGAAAAAAAATATTTTTTGATATTTTGCCTATGGGACATGCACTTAGTAATCATCTGTAATGTATTAAACCTCTGCTGTCTAACACTCTAGTCATTAGCTAAGTGGCTACTAAGTACTTGAAATGTGACTAGTACAGATTTGAGAGCTGCAGGTGTAAAGTACAAGATTTTGAAGGCTTAGTACAAAAACAAAGAATGTACAATATCTCATGAACAAATTATTTTACTTTCATTCTACACTGAAATATTTTTCATATACTGGGTTAAATAAATGTTTTAAATTATTTTCTCCAATTCTCTTAATTTTAACATTGCTAGTAGAAAATTCCATCTAAAATCGAATACATGGGTCACATGATAGTCTACTGAGCTGTGCTAGAAAGTAAAGGATACTATAGAGGAAGTTAAGACATACTCTCCCTTATACATTTAGTTTGTCAGGAAGACAAAAAGTAGACAGAAATAATGCTAATATGTGCTTGGTGTCACAAGACAGGCTTGGACAAGGTGGGAAAGCTGTCCAACTTCAGTGTGGCTGCAAGGCCTCAAGGAGAAACTCTATTTTGAACTGGGCTCAGTAAGTAACACTTATTGTGGACTTGACAGTGGACTGGGCAATTAAACAGAACCCTTCCTTCTTTACTAATTCAGTTAAATGAGGATTTACAAAGTTTATAAGACTTTCATCTATAGTTAAAGTGTATAATTAAGTGAATTTTGTGTCACTGTGGTTTCCACTGAGGAAAGTTAAGTAAACCATTTTATATGTCAAAAAAGCAAAAATCATTCAGCTTTCTTAAGCTCTTTACTAAGTATCAGACTGTGAAATGACAAACTTATACACTGGTCCCTGCCTCAGATTCCTGACACAGAGTAACTAAACTCTTATAAATTCCTCAGTCATAAGAGTACTAGGAGAATCTTTTGTTCTAATGAGGAAATCCTGGTTGGGCTCTTACATGAAGGCTGGTTGCCAGAAAGATGAAGCCGTGATCAGAAGGTCTCTGGGGCGGTGGCGGAACATGTCCTCTAGCAGAATCCTACCCAACATGAGCAGGATCACCACAACAATTTTGCTTGAATAGTTAACAGTGATATCATCACACAGCTCTGGTAGTTAGAAAACTCTTCATAATGTGGGTGCTCTTTAATTTCTGCCCATTGGTCCTATTTTTGCCCTTTGAGCCCACACAGAACAAAAAACCCTTTCTTCCATGTGATCATGTTCCTCTTACTCTTGAATTACATCTTCCCAGGCTACACACCAATAATTCTTGTCATCACTCTTCAAGTGTAAAATGGTCTAGACCTCACCACCCTGGATACCCCAACCCTTTCTACTTACATTCTATAGTTACTCATATACTAGTGCCTAGAGCTGAAGTCTACCCTCCAGAGGTGGTATGATCACTGAAAATTAGAACAAAAACAGCTCCCTTGTCTGGACAGTATATGTGGCTTATCAACACATTAGCACTCTCAGCAGCCTCAATACATATCAGGACACATAAACAGTCAAAGAAAAAAACTGGCTAGAAATTATATGCAATACATGCTAAGGTTAAAATATAACCTTACATACATTTACATACATAAAATGTAACTATCCATACACTCAGTGTGGATAGTTAAACATATATCAAACTTTAAAGTGAAATAAATGGTGGAGAATGAAAAGTAAAGTCTCCACACCTATCTCCTAGCCCAGGTTTTACTCCTCAGAGGTAACAATGTAATCATTGGCTTTACTTCTGAGGGGGGGCGGGATAGGCAGCCACTATATTTACACCTTGGTTATGATTTCATCATCTTTAAACCATATTATGAATTCCTGCCATAAAAGATGAGGAAATCAGCTCAGTATTTAATATACACATAACCTGTATACATACAACTTTTTAGAAAATAACTTACCAAGTACTGTAGTTGGACCCACATGAAAGAATTATAATCTTACCACACCTGTGCTGCTCAAAGTTAAACATTCCAAGCAGCAGAGTCCAATGGACTTTCTCTTTTTTCATAAGTTGCTTAAAACAAGGGCAAACTAGGTTTTGCTATAAATTTGGACCATGGGTTTCTTATCGACTTCCCCATTTTTTTTAGTAAGTTTGTTTGTTTAGAGGGGGAGGAAGGGAAATAAAAAGGGAGAGAAACATTGATGTGAGAGGGAAATATCGATCAGCTGTTGCCTCTTATATGCGCCCCAACCCAGGACTTAACCCACGACCCAGGTATGTGTCCTATTTAAAAATAGAACTGTCAACCTTTTGCTTTTCAGGACAACACCAAACCAATTGAACCACATCAGCCAAGCCTCCCTGGTTTTTAATTGCCTTTTTCTTATTGACCAAAGAAATGTAAGTCTTCATCATATCCCTAAGATCTTTTCAATGTCTTAATCATGCTATGGCTATATCTACCATCTATCTGCTTTTTGAAAATACTTTCCTGAGCCCTCTGAACTCCTATTCTAGTATGGACAAGAAGCATGTCCTAGACCCACCACCTACCTGTCAACCCAGGATGTATTTATTACATCCTTGAGTTGAGTCCTCTGGTCCTTAGATTCTGCTTGTCAAATATCTTTTTAATAGTTTATCATCAGAATTAAAGATAGTTCATCTTCAAAGAATATCTTATGTATCCTAATGTGACTATACTTATAAAGAGTAATAAAATCTCTTTATTTGTGAATTATCTGCATTTTTAAAGCTTAAACATTGTACTATGGTTTTATCAAACAACATGAACACATGCTTTCTAAGAAAAATTAATTCTTCTAATCTAGCAAAAACAGTGGAAGAATGGAAAGTTTTAAAGGTGCAATTTCCAAGAGTTATTATATAGGGTTACAGTTAAACTACCAATTTCCAAAGACCTAAGATAAATACAATATGCACTAGCTTGAGAAACTAAATATTTCAAGACCTATCAAAGTCTGAAAATTAAACAAAAAATTAGCCCTACTTATATTTGTAGGGCTCTCAGAGGCATTCAGTAGCGGTCCTTCCTCATTCTTCTTGCAGTTGCTCATCACTTGCCTTCATCCACAAGTCTAGTAGCCTCAGCTCCACTGCTCTACAAATTAAATAGCTTTCGTCTTTGCCCAAGCACTTGGCACACTTTCATTCTGTTTTACATTTAATCCTTCTGCTTCCTCTGAGAAATCCCTATTACTCATTCAACAGGTCTCATTATTGACTTCCTTCCTTGTTCTTTGAAATCAGCATGGCAGCTCCAGAGCTGCCTTCATTTGAAGGCTAACAGCCATACTGCCAAGGCGACACCTTTCTGAGGCTTTCACCTGATGCTCTGGGTATTGTGAGGTCTTTCTTCACTGACTGGTGCAAACATGAACTATTTCCAGCCCTCTGAGAATCCTGAAAATTGTTCTGTCTGCTCCTACCTGTGTCTCCCCCCCAGCCTCAGTACTCAGGCAGAAATGAACGTATCAGTACTAATGCAAAAATGCTTAGTCCAACAAAGACCTGGAGGTCCTCTGCATGTTTCCAGAGATCATTCTTTCTGTTGCTCCCTTTTCTCCAGTATCCTGCACTGCAAATTCCAGCCACCTTTGCTCTCTTGCTCATTTCTTGGGCAGGCTCTGTTTAGGTCCCCCCGCCCCCATATTACATCCTGGAAACTGCTTCCAGGGAGGCAACTTGTGTAACTCTAAGCTCACCATGTTTGCTTCTCTTGAGGCCACAATCCTGAGCTGCTTGCTCTCCAATGTCCAAAACCCATTTTTTATATATTTTGTCTGGTTGTTTTAAGGCAGAAGGGTATTCTAGTCTGTTATTTCATATAGGTTAGAAGCAGAAATTCCCCTGGGTCCGCTTCAGATGACTCAAATCCAAGACAACTCTGCAAGAATGCTCACTGTGCATCACCTTTGCATAAAAACATGAATTTATAGTCTAAGTGTGTATAATTTCTGGTCAATTATATACAGCTCAATTAGGCTAGTAGTCAGAAGTTATGCATTCAAATCTTGACTCTGTTCATTGCCAGTTATGTGAACCACTTTGAGCTTCAATTTTCTCTTCTTGTGAAACAAGATTACATCTACTTTCTTCGACTGTTCTGAAGATGGAGATTGTGTGTATGTGTTGCTAGCATAATGTCTAGCATATAGATGTTCAATAAATGCTTGTTATTTTACTTGCGAACCAGTATCTGTAACATCTTTTTGTTTCTTTTCCTTCTTAGCCTGCGTTCACTTCATTTCCCTCTTATTGTAGTAAGAATTTATATTCAGCCCTGGCTGGTCTGGCTCAGTGGATTGAGTGACGGCCTGCAAACCAAAGGATCACTGGTTCATTTTCCACAGGGCACATGCCTGGGTGGTGGGCCAGGTCTCCAATAGGGGGCACATGGGAGGCAACCACAGACTGATGTTTCCCTGCCTTTCTCCCTTTCTTTCCCTCTCTCTATAAATAAAGTCTTTTTAAAAAAAGAATTTACATTCACTTCATTACCAGTAAAATAGTCCTGCCAGTAGTTAGTAATGATTGAGCTTCTCAAGAAGATTCATGAAAATACTAACTCTATTCAAAACTGAACTCACTTCATGGGCCTGGTTGTAGAGTCAGGAGAAAAGGGGTTTGATTAGAAATCCTATCATTTCAATGCACAATAAAAATTATTTAATTTCATTTCCTGTTGCTAATGACGCATATTTTGCTCACTCTATCATACATTTTGCTTTTATCCTGAAAAGTCCCCCCAAATGACTCAACTGTTTAGGATTAAGCACACGCTCACTAATTAATACCATATACTTAAAACTTAGAAAAATGAACTCACGCTGTTAAGAAGAATCATCACAAAATGAGAATTTGACATAAAAAATGTTCTACTCCACAAAAACGTTCCACACAGAGACTGGGTTCTGAGGTGGACTGGTTCTTAGGTCACTACATTCCCTTCCATCTTTCAGACAAGTGTTCTGCCCCAAACCTACATGTGCACTTTTTGGAGCAAATTTGTGG